TTTGAACTTCCAGTGGGTTCGAGAAGATGTTGGATTAAGATGAAAATCGAAAAATATTTTGAAGTTAATTATAGGTGAAGAAATTTGATCTATTGAATCTTGATATTATATGTAGGTTACAAAAAGTGACTGTTTGCTTGCTCTAATCCCCACAAGCTGATTAGTAAAAGTTAAAAATTCGTAGTAACGTAAATGTTTTTAATTTTAAGTTAAATTTTTGTGATTCTTCCTTAAAAAAATGGATTGGTCCTTACGTCCATCCTGCGTTTATATGAAAATCTCTAAATTCCTTCATGGCCAGTTAATAGTTCCATAAACGCGTGCGCCGCATGGAAAATTGGCAGTCGGCCACATTCGATTAATTAAAGTTGTGCAACAGGTTGTTTAACTTTGCGATGCGTTTGCGAATGAAAAGTGTGTGCCGCCGTTTTAATTGTTGATTCGCAGAAAACCGTATACGAAAAGATTAACTTTTAATTTTGAACGTATTGGAGGTATAGAGAAAAAAAAATTCAAGCACAATTTAATGCAAGCTCGTCTTATAACGAAGTGTCGTTTCGTATGTCGCAGCGCATGCAGGCCAGCTGTGTTTCGATTTGAAGTATCACTTTTTTTGTTATTTAAATTGGCAAATATTTTCGCCAGCATTTATACTAAGATTCAGGGCAAAAAAAGCTTGAGAACTGAATAAATCACTTCGATTCCCGAGACAGTAAACAAAGGTGTAATGACAGTTGATAGTTTAGGTAACACACAATCATATTGACATAAAATTTTTATTGAAATTTAGAAAAACATCCGTATACGTATACGTATCTATACGTATAGATACTATATTATACGTATCTATTTACAATTGTCACGAAAAAAGTCAACCCATTTTATTATTTTACTAATAAATGAGACACGCGCTTTTCTTCAAGGGACTACTGCAAGCACTGCAAAATAAATAACACTGCTACATTATTCATAAAAACTTGATTATCGTGATATCAAGATTATTTATGGAAAAAAAAGCTCCAAAAAACTTTTCTGATCTTGATTCAGAATATTACGAGCGTCAATATTATATTCTACTAGAATTTACTACTAGTATTCACCATATTCACTATTTCAAAAATCTCAAATTTTCCCTCAAGTTTGAGACTTAATAAAGTAGTATTAAGTATGAAATCTACGATGTTTCTTTGTTTCGAATTTATCAGTAGTTACATGCAAAAAGTTGTCCCCTATAAGAAAATCTGGTGTGGTTTACAAAATTGCGTTCAAATACAAAATTTCATCTATCGCTCAGTTAATCTTCAAAGTTCTTCATCTTCGAAAATATTTTTTTGGAAATGGATAAAATTAAGAATTTGTAAAGACCACTCATTGCACGTGTCCGGTAATTAGTTATTCATCGACTGCTTCTTCGGGTCTACTCGCATTTGAGAGTTGCAGATACCCGTTTGCACTCTTCGTACGTGTGATTGTTATAAATTTCGTGTACTATCTTTTAGTGAGAGAACAAATTTAATATCTGTCATGTGCTGTCTTTTGGTGTCTAAGCAAATTCTGTTTTCGTCCAAATTTTTTCTCGCACTTGTCGCATGCAAAATCTTTGTGACCTTCGTGAACTATTTTTTGGTGGACGAGCAAATTTACTTTTTGACCAAACTTCTTCTGGCATTTGTCACATGCGAAATCTTTCCGACTCTCGTGCACTGTCCTATGGTGTGAAAGAAAATGTGACTTTCGTCCAAATTTCTTCTCGCATTTATCACATACAAAATCTCTGCGATCTTCGTGCACTGTCCTCTTATGCCTGATCAAGTCCGATTTTCGTCCAAATTTCTTCTCGCATTTATCACATTCAAAATCTTTGCGATCTTCGTGCACTGTCCTATTATGCCTGATCAAGTCCGATTTTCGTCCAAATATCTTCTCGCAATTGTTGCACGGGTAATTTTTGAGATTTTCATGGAATGTCTCTTGATGAACAACTAAATGATGTTTTCGTCCAAATTTCTTTTCACACCTGTCACATGCGAAATCTTTGGGACCATCGTGCACTGTCTTCAAATGCAAGAGCAAATACGATTTTCGTCCAAATTTACTTTCGCACTTGTCGCATGTGTAATCTTTGCTCCCTTCATGTACAGTCTTTTGGTGAGTGAGTAAATTACCTTTAAGTCCAAATTTTTTCTCGCAATAGTCACATGCATAATCTTTACGACCTTCATGGACTGTCTTTTGATGCAGGAACAACTCAGATTTTCTTCTAAATTTTTTCTCGCACTTGTTACATGCAAAATCTTTACGACCTTCGTGTAATGTTCTTTGATGTTGGAGCAAATTAGATTTGCATCCAAATTTCTTCTCGCACTTGTGGCATGCAAAATCTTTACGACCTTCATGGACTGTTTGTTGGTGAAAAAGCAAATGCACTTTTTGTCCAAATTTCTTCTCGCACTTGTCACATACAAAATCTTTCCGTCCTTCATGGACTGTTGTTATGTGCAAGAGCAAACTCTTTTTATATCTAAATTTCTTTCCGCAATTGTCACATAAATAATCTTCAAATAATTTTATAAAATCTTTGCGACCTCCGTGTACTGTTTTCTGGTGTAAGAGCAAATGCGATTCTTTTTTAAATATCTCCCCGCACTTGTCACATAGACAATCTTTGCGACCATCGTGTGCCGTTTTTATGTGCACGAGCAAATTCTGCTTAGTTACAAATCTCTTGGCGCACTTTTCACACAAGTAATCTTTGAAAACTTCGTGGAATATTCTTTTGTGCTTAAGTAAGTTTGATTTATTTTCAAATTTTCTCTGACACTTGTTGCATGTGAAATCTTCAAGATCTTTGTGTACCAATTTTTGGTGCGTAGACAAACTTAATTTTTTTACAAATTTCTTTTCGCATCTGTCACATGCAAAATTATTGCGACTTTTGTGTACTAATATTTGATGTCTACTCAAATGACTTCGGAACTCAAATTTCTGCTCACATTTGTTGCATGCATAATTTTTTTCTACATTGTGAATTGTGTATCGGTGTGTTATCAAACTTGATTCTTGTGTAAATGCCTCCTGACAAATGTCACAAATGTTTTTTTTATTGTCTGAAACAATAACGTCATTTTTACATAAATTGTCATTTGAGATAATTTCCTCGGATTTCTTTTCACTTTTATGCATTTTGGTGATCGATTTTAACGATAGGTTCTTCTATTTAGAGATTCTTTCTTTTTTGTAGATTCTTCCATTTAGAGTCAAAGAAATTGAACGAGTAAAATTGATCTTTTTATATTATAATTCATTGGCAAAGACAACATTCAAACTAATTTATTTTTACTGTAAACATGACCGGTAAGTCAAGGAAATATGTCTAAATCGTTTATAATCACATTGTTTACAATTAAATTACCGATTTATCTGTTTATACTTTGCCCATACAAATTTGAACCAGTTTAAAATTCTAACTTGGCAACGATTTTTGCGAAAAATTGTTTATAATATATTTTAAAACTACGTATACTTCCAAAAAGAAACTCTCTCTACTATCGGTCAATAAATTTTTGTAAAGTTTACATTTTATAAAAAATGTTAATATTTATTCCAAAATTTGCCGCTGCTATTCATAATCTGCTACCGATTATGATCGATCTTAATCGTCAATGATGAGTCGAAATTAACTTTTTGCTGGTTTCATTGTTGATCGTACCAAATCATTTGTTCTTATTATGCAGCTATCCAAAATCTCAATGGCATTTTTAGTAGACAAATTAGTAAGTAACATTTATCCAGGCCCGATAAATTTTCTCAGGGATCTTACCGTAAATCCGCGTATACATTCACCCATTACTTTTCCCGAATCTTTCGGGTTTCTCTCTTAATTTCACGTAAAATTGGTTTACCCCGAAACGATTTATTTATAATCGCGATCAAATATATTAGAAATTAGACAGAAAACATATATTGCTTGATTTTAAACATCAACGTTCGAGTTTTTTCGCGGCTTATACCAATACACAGTATTGTTAAATGCGAATTCGGAGCTTGCATCTTTGCGCGCGCGCATAACTCGTATTGCAGCTATGCTGCGAAGTATCCACGCGTTTGCAGACGGTACAGCAAGTATATATAGGGCATGAGCATCTAAAAAGAAAGGGAAGCACATTGCGCGTGTGTAGTTTCGCAAGTTGATTCTCGCGAGCCTGCGACTACAGCGAGAGCCATATGTGTGCATCTATACATGTATAATGGCATGCGCTCGTGTCTGCTTTTGCTGCTTTGTTAAAAAACCACGAATAATACGAAAAAAAGAGTCTCAACGCTCGTGTATTTTCTATTATAAACGGCTTATTAATGGATGAAAATTTGTACACGTATCACGCACTACGATCGAGCTTGTTGACCCGCAAAATCCGAATCATCGTCGTCAATTATATAATTGATCAGCGCGAGTCCGACTGGTGCATCGTCGTGGTCGTCGTTTATCGAGTTCACGTGTGTGCGTGTGTATATTGTACGCGCGGTTCTCTTTCTCTCGGAGTTTAAACACCGCAAATAACACACGCTGGGTCGGGCATTGTCTTTGCATGACTCTCTTTGTCGCAGGCACATGTATACAAAATGTAACAAACAAGTCGCGCGAGGCAAGCTGCGCGCGCGCGCGTGCGACTCATATATGTATACAGATATATTTATACACACGGTACATACTCGCACACACACACACACACACACACACGAAGATTTCGGAGTCGCAGTAAGCAGTTGGCGTATAGATGTATTTATATATTTATACACGTAGGGTGTGTATATCTATATATATACTCGCGATCGCCTAGTCACTCTCTGCGCATTTTCTTTTTCCTGCCTCTCGCTCGCGTATGATATACGTTTAAGTGCGAGTCGATGTATGCATGCAAGTATGTGTGTGTGTTTGTTGCACAGCAGCAGCAGCAGCAGCAAGCAAGCAAGCAAGCATAGAGAGAGAACACGAGTCTCTGTCGACTTGGACGTCGTAGTAGTCGTCGTCGTCGTCGAATGTCGATAGATCGTACGAGATCTGTATAACGTTTGCTATATAGTCTTGCGAGTGCCTCGACGAGCAACGCATCTCTCGCGCGCTCGCTTCTCAAAGTGTATATAAAATATAAATTATTATAAAATAACTCGGCGAGTTTTTCATATAGTAGTAGCTTATATACATAGAAGTATATCGCAAGCGGTGATAGTCGAGAGAAAAACGTTGCGACATCGTTGGCTGCTACATAGGCACTCGATCGATCTAGAAGTGCATATAATACTCGAGTTTATTATTATTGGACGAACTGCATTTGCAACGCAATTCGCATCCCTACGAGGCTGTACGAGTGCACGGAGTAAAATTTCATTCTTCGGAGCAACTGTCATCCAAGCAACCCCTCGTTCTGGTGCTTATTCGAGGCATTCGCTAGTCGAGTGTCGTCGGCCGGTGCTGTTATAAGCTGCTGCTACTCGTGCTCCGCACGAGCAGTTGTGCTTCTTCGAGTGTGTATAGTATCTAGACAATACTGCGGCGGCCTCTGATATTCGCGCGAAGAAAGAGAGAGAGATAGAAGGACAAGTCCAGTGAACAATAATATAACAATTTAATCGTTCGGTGCGAGGCGCGCGATTTCTGTCGAGTGTATGACTCGTGTATATAATCTCTTAACAGAAAACGGTGGCCCAGTGCGATAAGGCTCCTCGTGAATCGCCACGATAGAGCATAAGATACATATATACCGCCTGCGTATAACCCCAACGCAGCAGTTTTCTCGCGGTATACTATATAATACAATCGTCATCCAGCAGCAGTCGACAACAAAGCCGCAATAATCGCTCGTCGAGATAACTTTGGAAGCTTTGGTGCGGTATTGCAGAGATTGTCGACACTTGTCACTGCCTCGTGTGTTTTGTTCTCGCGCGAGACTCTGCGTTTCTTTTTTGTTTCATTTACGCAGTGGTGCGCGCGCGAGGCTCTCGCACAGCAGCAGTACTATAACACAGTGTGCCAAGCGCCCGTAGTAGTGCGAAACGGAGTCAAAATATTAAAGGATCGCTGCGCGAATGCTGTGTTATCGTTGTTGTGGTGGTGCCGTGGCAGCTCGTGTTTTCATCCCAGTGTCGTCTGCATCGTCGCGCTCAACAGTCGTCACTGCAGCTCTTTAATTCCTCTGTGCAGATATAGGCTAAGCTAAGCGAAGAGAAGGAAGAAAAAAGACAACGACGACGTCGACGAAGAAAGAAGAAGAAGAAGAAGAAGCGTGTCTGCGCGGGTGGGATATCTCGTGCCGCTGTCTACGTAACAATACAACGACGGCACCGCTGCTGCTGCTTCTAATTCGACCCCCGGACGAGATGAAATAACGAGAGACCAGCTCGATCGTCTCTCTTGCTCTCGTCCTCTCTCGTATATTATAATATACACACCCGTGTTATACATGCCATACCATTGTGGCTTGGGCATTATTAATCGTGCGGCGAGGAGAGAAGTCTCTTCTTCTCTCTCGCGTCGTGTAGCGGCATAGCGCATCGGCACTAGATTATCGCGTCGCGCGAAGGCGCCCCCGAGACCTCCTCTTCTTCTTCTTCGTCTCTCCTCCGCGTGTGAGTGTGTGTGTGCGCGCCCCGTGCTCAGTCCTCAGTGCAGGCTAGTCGGTAGTGCGCGTCATCGTCACACCTCGCAACACCGTCGTCCGGTCGTCGTATTTAGAGTGCCCAAGGAACGTAGTCGTCGTCGTCGTTTTGCGTCTGTACGCGTTACGTCGTCAACCTTACACGCAGAGAGGAAGAGATATATCGGTATCTAAAGACGAGATCTCCCCCCTTGAATTATATATAGAAGAGACACAGATTATACTTGGGTGCTGCATCGTACGACGAGTACGCTTAACCTAAACGCATACCATCGAACGAGAGTAACGTCCTTTGGAGATATCTGCTATCGCTCCGCTCCGTAATACGGTGCTCGCTCCGATATTTTTGGTGCGACCAAGAAATTTGAGGAAAAAAATTCCGTGACAGATCGGGCACGGTATTTTTGAAGCAACAGGCTTGATACAGCGAGCGGCCCTATCGCACACACGTCCTAGTCTTATCAACAGCTGATCGACACACGGTGCAGCTGCAACGACGTGCACCGACAGCAATTCATAGAGAGAGAGACAATAACGCAAATCAAAAAGATAAAGTACGGTAATTTTTTTATTTTTGCTGTGTGCAGAATAAAAATACAAAAAAAAAGTCTGTAAAGAGAATCGAGACACAGTACACGGCTCTCTTCGGACGGCTATTGGCTTGATCTCTATCGACGATAAGCTAAAGAATTTTTTTCTCTCTCTCTCTCTCTTTCTGGCGAGAAATAAACCTCGCGCGGAATCGATAAGCGGCCCGCTGAAAAAGTGAAGTGTCTCCGTGCGTGATTGTTATAAACTGCGTGCGCGGCGACGACGACGACGGTGACAACGGCGATTGCCGCCGCTGCCCGCTTTATTAATCGGCCGCCCGTGTGCGCGCTTGCACACTCGCATTTTTTTCATTTTATATATATATATATATAAATTTGCGGCCTCTTCATAGTCGCTCGTATATAGTATATAACAATATAATATAAAAGACAAAAACAAAGAACCGATGCTCGACACTCTACTTACACCTGTTTAGTGACGTACACACACACACAGCACATGCCCTGCGAGCTGCTGCACGTCGATATAGTGCCAGCTCGAAATTGACAGAGATAGAGAGAGAAATCGAAGAATCGTGTGCGCGATATCCACGAGGATTCCCCGGAATATCTGTTAGAGAAAGTAAAAAAAAAAAAAAACAAAACTAGAAAATATGGAGCTGGTAAGCGAGTGTCTGTCGGACAACTGCACGAGGTCCGGCCTGCTGCTGGACTACAACGACGCCTGGTCGGCCTGGGACTACTTCGAGTACCGGCCCTGGCTCTTCTCCATCATGGGCAGCGTCATGGTCGGCCTGTCGGGCGTCTTTCCGCTCCTCGTCATACCGATCGACGAGGCCGCCGATCTCAGGACTGGAGGTGAGCCCAATTCGTCGTACACATTTTTATGTATCATTATATTTTTAACTGCTCCGGCTTATCGCGCGCTCGCATCTGCGGGGATTATAATTTAAATGTCGCGTTGACCGTAGCACAGAGAAAGATGCACTTGATTCGAGTACTGTGCAGTTTTTCTGTGTAATAATCAGAAGAAGTGGAATTGAAAAAACAACAAGATTATTGATCATGATTGATTTTCACGTGGTTTTTATTGTCGATCCGATATCGACATTAGTTTTTCAATTAATTTAACAAAGATTACCGTCTAAGTGATAAACTTTCAATCAATATTAATTATTAATTATCAAATTATTGATTAGCCTTACCGATTTTACAAAAATCGGCATTCGACTCGATAATTGTAAAATATTTTCAATTCCATGCTCGAAATGCTTCGCGTATTTAGATTTACAAGCAAGTTTGATAAAAAAAAATAATAATGACGTAGCCCTGTCACTATACCTATCGCCATCAAATAGGGTCACTTAATCGTAATTTCGACAGCGATCGAACGACATCGCGGTTGTAGCACGCGGTAAACCGCGAGTATTATTTTTTTTTTTTTCACTCCGATCTGACACTGTAAAAATGTATATCACTCGCGACGAGTAAATGAACGATTAAACTTTCAACATTTTTTTTAAAGATGATATATTTAAACGGTGTACTGGATGCAAGATGTACAAATTGCATTATCAATCGATGGTAAACCAATAATTGTGGACTTAAATCGCGATAAAGAGAACGTGTTCAAACAATCAATGAAATGTAACTCGAGACTTATCAACAGTTTGACAACATTGTCTTATACATGCAGTCGTTTTTTTTTTTTTTTTTTTGATATTCCACTTTTTTTTAATATACCGTGTTTACAAGCAAATAAATGTGACAAGGCGCGAAACATTAAAAAACTCGACACGGTTCATTGACCTACAGCCATGCCTCTGTACATGTTTGCGTTGTATTTATTATTATATAACTGGGACTCCACCTGTTCTCATTATTTACCGAGTCCATTCATGTTTTAAACTAAAAACAAATCAGATTTTTCTTTCAAATAGTTATATATAGGTATAAGGTTTCTTTGATTTTGTTGCAATTACTATGAAGATCGAGAAAGACAATAGCTTGAAACAATAGTATGGCCTTATATCGAATATCATCCTTATTGTTTTGGTGATACAGTTTATTATTATTACTTTTTTTTACAGGACGTAATAGAAAGTGTCATAAAATCAAACTGATAATAGAAGCGATAGTTTAACATATCATGTGGAGAGCTGTTTATATAGCAATGAACCACTGCTGCAAAGAACAATGATATAAAAATACGAAATATTATTCAAAATTTGTCGAGTACTTTTCTAAGTTGTGATTCATTTGAATATAATCTCTCGTTAACGTATATTGTGAATCATTTCGTAAACAAATGAAATCTCAAAATGCAACATATGAGTGATTTCAGGGAAATTGTAGTTTATGACACGCTCAATAGGATATTTAAAAAAGAAATTAACCGAAGAAAGCAATAAAAATTATTAACTTCAATCTGGGTGCAATTAATAAAATCAAATCGTAATAATTAATCCTTCAATTCGATTACGAAGTACGAGATAAGCTCGTTCTTTTCTTTGACGATTCGTTAGATACGAGGAAGTACGTAAATTATGCCAAAAAATTAATTCCCATGTAACAGCGTGTTTTATTTCATGCAGTTTAAAAAACTCGCAATGTTTACATGAACTTTCATTTTTATCCTTGCGGCGTGCATACTGCACGTGTGGGATGCTGCGCGAGGAGCATCTTTTCAACCGAAGACCGAGATCAATGGGCTTTCTCTTTTTCGCTTGGAAAGAGAAAGCTCGATGAAACATTTACGTAATTGTCGCACAATTAATAAGTACTAATAACGAAACTAATTTGTTCCTGTAATCGATAAAAGTTCGGGGATGAAAAATCGAATTTAAAAATTCATTTTGCCGTATATCCTTCAAGAAATTCATTCATAATGTTGCGCTCGCTTAGCGCAGCATCTGCGGCTAATCGAGTGTGGCACACAGACACTGCATACTATAACACGGACGTTTCGAGCGCGTCTGCATCTCGTCGTGCTCTCTCGCTCGCACGCGTTGCAGTATGCACACTGACTCGCGCGCATTATCTATGATTGTTCAGACAATCAAGCGCGATGACGTTAAATGACTAACGGAAACTATGTAAAATAAATAATAACGATGCCTCCATTGTTTTTGACGGACAAAAAAAATTGAAATATTTTAAAGCGCTCGCGAAGCATGCTTTTCTTTGTCGTAAAATAAAATATGAATCATCAGCGAGTGGCACTTTTCAAATCTATTTTCGAGTAATTGCTGTTTTCAAAATTTTTCATGTTATTATTAGCGAAACGAAATGGTAATCATTCGCACGATATCGAGCGTTTATAGTTTTCAGGCTAAAAACGTCCATCTTTTTTAATTCATGCGTCAGAATTTCCCTATATTTATCGGCTATTTATCAAGCAATGTCGCTGCGAATTTCCTGCCAGACGAAAACTCATACCGAGCGCAGTACGGTATACGCTACAAAAGCCACAAAGAATCAAAGCGCAGATAACAAAAAAAAACTAATGGTTGCAAATTAAAATTCATCAAAAGCCTACGGGTGAAGAATTTTTATTGTTTATATTTTTACTCGCTACAATTTTTTTTTTTTGCACAAGTACAATGGCTTCCGAGCTCCGCGTGTGTGTATAGTTGAGCGTCGCTGTTGCAAGCTCATGCATATTGATGATCATTCGTAACCTCGTGTGTGTTTTGCGCTCTGTATGCAGCGGCGATGTGCAGCCTTTCGACTAGCTTTTAAAATGCACAATAAAATACGCGCAAACTGCTCTAATGCGTACAGGCGAGCGAGATGCTTGGTTTTATACGCGCGCTCGTATATATGGGATGCTTCGCGGCGCACACGTGATGCTCTCGTATCGAGCTTGTTCGCGGCGGTTTCGTCAGCGCTTGCAATAATTTACTGTAACACTTCGCTCTTGGATTTTATGGAAAAAATTGGAAATCCCAACTTTTTATTTTCTATGTTGAGGAAATAATTATGGCTAAATATATAAGAGAATGTGAGAGTAAATGTTCAATCGATAAATTTACGTAACATCTCATTGAAACATGTTCAAATGATTACCATATCCATTGTCGGAATTTCAATACTTTATCAACTTTTAGATTAACGAGTCAACGACTAGAGTAAATTAACAGAGTGTTGAATCTCAATTTTGCATTGAACGTGACAAGCTATCTTATCTTCGATTTCATTTTTAAATTTTCGATGAATAAGCATCGGTATACACACACTCACTGACATCTTGGCGTTTTGCAACTGTAAACAAAAATTCGTACATTGTTCGGTTATGCAACAGATGCAACGTTCGAATAACAATGAAATGTGAAATTTTATATAAACATAAAACCCCCGTGCATATGAGTTTCTGTGGCGCCGAAGGAGGTCTCAGTCTCTGATTTCGAACCATCGAGTTATGTTTTTTTTCAATTTAGCTGCGGGGCAATTTTAACGTTGTAGAATGTTTCGTTCGAGAGTATCGAGAGTAATTTCTGCAAGATTGCAAACAGATCAAGGTCCATTAGTTCATAGTATTTTCAGTATGCGAGCTATGAAAAATGTCTCGAACTAGTATTAGATTCAAATATATTTACGTTCGAAATACGTAAAAAATGTGTTCATTCAATGGATGGTAATTGATGAAAAAATACGATTGTGTTTTACAGACAGTGCAAAAACTTTGAAGATTCTTCTGAGCTTTGCGGTCGGTGGACTTTTGGGTGATGTTTTCCTTCATCTGCTACCGGAAGCTTGGGAAATACAAGCGGCGGCCAAGAAAGGTGCGTAAATGAAATATTTTTTATGATCCAAAATTAATTTTCCACTCGATAAATTTAATGTTCCTCCTTTCGAATTAAATATTTGTCGCCCAATCTCAGTACTTTTTGGTATCTCTAACATACAGCTTCAATCAAGTAGAGCTCAATGAAAAGATCTTCTGTCCTCTTAAATGTTTCGAACTTTTTTCTCCGTTTGTTGAATAACGATCGTAACAAGATCAATAAACTTCGCATAATCCGCCTGTCTGCGTGCAGTTACTTATACGGACTGTGGCACTACCCAACACACGAGCGTGACATATATATTTAAAATGCTCCGCGCGCGATATGTTCGTAACCAATAATAGACAAGCTTTTATGTCGCAATTAAAAATGCTCGCTTTAAAATTGTAGTCAAAGCGTATAATAATTATTATTTTCCTCTCTTAACCGTCGTTCCAGCAGAAGGCGAGCACGCCTCCATGTTCATCGGCCTCTGGGTGCTCGTTGGATTCTTCCTGTTCGTCGTCGCCGAGAAACTGTTCAATCACTCGAAAACCGACAGCGAGATCGGCGCCCATGACAATGTAACAATCGACAACACGGAGCAGCAACGACGCATTGACGACGACAACAAGAGTTCCGAAAACAACAACAGCAACGAGGAGCAGCCGATAGAAGACGAGCGCACGGACGAGATCGCGGGCTTGAAGAAACGACACTCCGATCAACGCACGAACGGACTGAAAAATTTATCGAACGGAGTTGGGAAAAGCAACGGAAATTGCAACGGGCACGTCGTGACGGAAAGATCCGTAGCTGAGAATACCCGTAATTGTCTCGTTGATCTTGTACGAAATTTACGATCATCGACGTGTTTTTTTAACTCTTGACTCGATCGTTGCAGGCGAACGACAACAAGTATCGGACCCAAAGCCCCAGCAGCAGGAGCAGGAGAGGCCAAAGGACATAGCCGGCTACCTGAATCTCTTGGCCAACTTCGTGGACAATTTCACGCACGGCGTGGCGGTGGGCGGCGGCTTCCTGGTCTCGTTCAGGCTCGGCGTCCTCACGACCTTCGCCATACTCGTGCACGAGATACCGCACGAGATCGGCGACTTCGCCATACTGCTCAGGAGCGGCTTCAGCCGGTGGGACGCGACCAGGGCCCAGTTGCTGACGGCGACCGGCGGCGTCGGCGGCGCCCTCTTCGCCGTCGTCTCCGGCAATGCTTTTCGTAAGTGCAGATCGATCTCGTGTCGTCGATCTCGATGAAATTATTATTTATCGTCTTCTTTTGCCGCAGACTCTACAAATTGGATACTTCCTTTTACGGCGGGGGGCTTCCTGCACATCGGACTGGTGTCCATCTTGCCGGAGCTGGTGCAAGAAAAGAGCCCGAAGGAGTCGTTGAAGCAGATGAGCGCCCTGTTCGTGGGCATTGTTGTAATGGCGTCCTTAACGATGCTGTTTGATTAATCGAGATTTAATGATTGTTATTGTAGTGGAATATATCGTCTGAACGATTAAAACGTCGCGAAATGAATTCGTTGAAACGGGGGAAGAAAGAGCGAATATTTTTGTTGATGAGCAGAGCTAGAAAATATTTTGTAATATATACATTTGTAACTATTTTTTTACCCTTGCAATCTTTTTTATCTCGTTATCGAATGATTTTAAAATCATGCTCCTAGTTTTCTTTTTGATAAATTACACTCTCTCGGGTATAATCTGCTTCTATAGAAATAAATTTCTAGATCGCGTGTATACGATATGTGCGCTCTAACAATTTTACGAAGCACAAGAACTGTTTTCTAGAATTGAAAGTCAAGCTTTATTTACCAAATATCTAAAGTCTCTTAACATTCTGCGTTGATTTTTTTATCCGGAAAATCACGATTGAACTATATTTTTGAATACTAGATTTATCATACTTCTACATATATTGCACAAAGGCATGATGATGTTCTCATGGTGACTCGAAAATCTATAATTTTACAAATATTGTTACTCTCTCAATGATGTACCATCAAAAAAAAAACTTTATATTTTTTCAATTTTTCATACTACTAATGTTAAATAGAATATTTTATAGAGATCGTCGTGAACTTGGAAATGAAAATGAAACTGGAATTTGTTAATTGAAGTTTCGAAAATCATTGTATATAAGACTCTGGGTTTAATGTATAAGCCCTGTGCCTAAAAAATTAGCTTATTGTGAATGGTTCCTACAGGAAGAGGAAACTGTTAGTGATGATTTGAAGAGATACATACTAGTTCTTTATTATTTTAATGATTTTCATAAAGCTCGATATATGTATAAGTTTGTATATATATATTGTTTGTTAAATAAATACTAAATAGAATTCAATATATATTTTTTAACAAAAGTAAAGTATAAGGCTCTGTATTCATAAGTTAACCCTTGTACTTAATTTATAGAAGACAAGGTTTCAAATTTTTTTCCAGTTTGAAAGATTTTTTAAATAGCCTCAAACGTATCTACTTTCTTTTGTAAATAAATATTATTTATCATTATTTTTCTTTTTATTATTTACCTCTAATTCATTTATTCAGTAATTTATTCGAATTCTTCTTTTTGTTGGTGTAAACATTTAAGAGAATTGGAAAGTTAAAGGAAAAATTAGAGATGTAAAAAAATATAAATTTATTATTGCATCAGTATGTTACCAGTGTTATTTGTCGTTCAAATTACGTTTATTTTGACATTTGTAATTACCTTAACATTATTTGCACTTCAAAACTTTCAGATGCTCAGTTATGCTCAGTCAATTGGACTAGCAGTAAATCATGTGAAATGTAACATATTCCACAGATTATACTTTCTAGTATGTACATAACAACAGACAGTGCTGATTATTCTTACAACTCATCATGCTTCAATGTTACAAGCATTTTTAGTACTTCTATCAACAATTCTGGACCGTTATATCCTTCAGGCAAACTGAACATATCGTATAATGCATGGACTTTATGAAGTAGCTCTTGTTTTCTTTGCACATATTCATTTTTACATGCATAACTGAGGACAATCATGCTATTATAAACAACTTCACATAAATCTTCAAGATTAGCATCATTGTACATTTCGGGAACTTTTATCATTAAACTCACTAAATTTTGACAGTATTTTTGATTGACAATTTCTTTCTCAAAATTTGTTGTTTCGTAATCTTTGATTAGTGAAATTCTTTCTTTTTGATCTTCAATTTTTTCCAAATTAATTCTTTCAATTGCCAAGTCATTTATTAAATTGAGGATCCTTGTTTGAATTACGAAATTACGATCCATCAAAATTTTACCGAACATTTGCAGCCCACCATTAGAAATGAGAGTCTTTTGAGCAGCTGGACAATTTCTTAGTAGAGCTCCAAGAGTAAACATAATACGTACTTGTTTTGTCATATTATCATTCGTTACTACTAACATATGGAGTAGTTTTTGAACCAAATCATTTTCTAAGGCTTTTAACTGTACTTTAGGATTATTTTGTACAGCAGCACCTAGTAGTCTTAATGCTTCATGCTGAATTCTATAATAAGTTGCATTTAACGATGGTAAAACTATTCTTGCCATTCTGAAAAAGATTTACAATTGAAAATTTTTTGCCAAAAAAATTATATTGGCTGATGGAATTTTTTTTTACAGGATTCTTACCCATTCATATCAGAAAAAATTTGGGCATAGTCAATTTGATGTACCAAGTATTCAATATTAGCTAAAATATTCACAACATCGTCAATATTATTTGGATCAAGATTTCCTGAAGACATAAGCTTCCCATAAGGCTCAAATCTTTCAAATAAAATTTCAAAAGCTTCAGAATTAGTAACGGTCTTCATTACAGTTTTTCCTTCCATTAAATTTGAATACATTTTTGATGCCTGTTCTTCGGCTTCTTGTTTTCTTTCCATTTTCTAAAATGTACAAGATAAATTATTAATAAAATGATTTGAATAATGAGCAATCAGATAATTGTTTAAATAAATACTTCTGATAAAGGTACATCATTTCCTTCATCTTCATGTGATTGAAATTTTTCTATCATTTTTCGTAGATCATCCTTTGATATCATATGCTTCCCATATAGTTTCTTTTTTGTTGCTATGCTATCATCATTTTTTATAGATTTTTGGGGATGCAATGTTAATGAACTTGTTGGTAACGAATCTGAACTAACTTTAGTATCTTTTTCTTCATTTTTATCCAACAATTTAGCTTCAGTAATACCAGTTTGAAAATTGTGTCTTACATGAAGTCCTTGAGGAATGGGTTTTCCTAAAAAAATCATTATTTATTTTTAAATAATGTAAAGTTTTAAATGGACAGCAAAAATCAGTTATACATTTTGTGTGAAGACAGTTTTTATTTTCAAAAATTAGAATACTCAAATGTGTAAAAAAATAGTAATAATAAAACGAAAAATAATAATAATAACATCAATAAATCATCACCTTTTTCGACCACTTGCCACTCTTCGGTTGCCACAAAGGAACTGCTATTAATTTTTGATTCATTGGTAGCGATAACTACTCCAAAAATTAAAACGAGTCCCACAAAAATGATCAGACGAGACATGATTGCTAGCTTATGGAAGGCTATAACCAAATTTAAAAGAAAAAAAGAATGTCCTCTACTACAACCTGTCGAGTAGGCCGTGAACTTTGGAATGAACGAGTATCGAAACGATCCTCCTGCGTAAGAGCATGATCTTGTAATTCTATGAGTTTCACCTATACACGCCCGCCATACGTATACGCGGCTTATGTTTTCTAGTGGCGTTACTGTGCACGAATTTACATTTTTCTGTGCGGCGCGCTCATTGACAATTTGCGTACAACCAAAAAAAGCCATATAGAACACGGTGCATCGACATTTATGCGTGCGCAATGTTGGCGAATTTATTCGACACGTGCTTTTATGTTGCGCCGTTTGCGCAAATTTTTTCCTTCTTGTATCATTTTATTTTTCATACATAATCACTTTTGAAAGTCAAGCATTCGTCCTTAATCTATTAATTTCGCTGAATATACTGCTTATTTTTAAATGATAATTTCCTTTTTTAAATCTGCCCGCCGTTTAAACTCTAAAAAGCGACATGATTATCAATTTTACACACTGGTCCTCGGCCTTCATGTTGTAATTCAGGAATATGACGTTCGAAACGTCACTAACTATTGTTTGGCTATTTTGCATGGTAAACATAACTCATGTGTATACACTGTATTGTGTACACATAATAATTGGAGTATTACGTCCTAATGACGCAATTATCTCAAACCTGATGGATCGAACCACGTTTATGCGCAGTGATCGAGTACGCATGCAACGGTAAACAAAATTTCATAAAGTAGCAAGTGAAAGTCTCTCTGTGACATATGTCATGTGCGCATTGACCTTATATAAAAAAAAATAAAGACAAGCTCGGCGACTAGCGTGAGTGCACCGTGATTAAGTATTATGTTTACATCAAATACACCGAAATTCTCGACCCTTCAGATTTTGGTATTTACTGCGCATGAATTTAGACAACGGAGAGTCCACTGACAAGCGTGCCGTTGTCTAATTAACCATCATCAGTCTAACCTCGGCTGTTGAGATGAGAGCACATGTCGTACGTGTTTGTTATGACGCCGATGTCTTGATGGTGTGAATAATCGAGTTCTTCCTTGTTTCATCGGCGAGACTGAACGTTTTAATTAAAACTGAAGATTCGAAGAGGGTTAACTGACAGTTGACAATAATCTGAACATCTCTACGAGTGTTTATAAGTTAAGTGTGGGCAGCTAATTTTATTGGTTGTCGTTAAATTGTTACAAATGAACTTGAACGATAATTTGTTCATTGAAGACGCGGAATACGACATAGGTTATTTCCGAAAAAACGACCAAACTAAAAGGTGAGTAAATCATTGCTCCGATTATTAGTAAACATTCGCCAGCATGTGTTTACTCCATTTTCTTAATAATATCGATATTTGCTACCAAATCTCATTTTGTCAGCAATATTATCAACTATTACGTTATTGAATGTATTATCTATAATTTCACCCGTATCTATTTAATCATCATTGTGTTTATTGTTGCGTACTTAACCTCAAACTAAACGTTTGTTTTTATAAACATCATTCCTGAAATGATCGGTCACTCGACTCCGAATACCTATTTTTACAGAGATACCAAGACTTTTTCGGAGCGTTCCTTATTTCTTTGATATTTTTCAACGCTATTAATAACATCGCTATGACCATGGCACAGTTGATATTTCTCTGCTGTTTTAACTCAACTGTAATTACAGACTTTTTTACTAAAATAACATTTATGAAACTAAAATTGAATGGATATTCAATGTGAAGACGTAAAAAAAATTTTTTTTTTCAAAAAATGTAAATTTTAAATTCTAATTACTATCAAAAATAATTGAATAAAATTTACTTTTTACGCAAAAAAACGAGATCACTATGTAGTATTAATTAAACAAATCATTCAGTTCGAATAATCAATAAACAAAGCTCTACTCTAATGAAAGAGAGAGAGAAAAAAAAAGCAAGAAATCGTATTGATTGTGTAAGAAGTAAAACGGATTAGAGGGCTATTAACGAAAGTAGCCGGCACATGCAGTTTCATCCCATTATTCATTCATTACGTAAAAGCATCAGTCGGGCTTTTAAAAACATCTAAACATTTAATTCGTTACAATTGAAAATGTAGTTCATTTGAATAAAATGACAATGCTGCGTGTGTGAGTATGTGAAGCTCGAAAAATAAAAAAATCTGGTTCATTTTTCAGAGTACTTGTTTTTCCGCCCGTAAATAATTACAGAAGATTTCTCGTGCATCAATTAGTGCAAGAACAATTTAGCGATTTACAGACATTTTCAGTTGGTCAAGGTCGTTCGCGACGACTCGTTGTCTGTTTCAAGTGCGATTTTATTGGGTACATATGATTAAAAAAAGCTAAAAAAATATTCATCAACGTTATAATTCTCCATTTTCTAATGTCGTATTTGATTTACAGCACTCCAAAAGTCGATGAAAATACGTCTACAACTGGAGATTGTTTCAATTGGAAATCATTGAACAAAATGGGAAAGAAAAATCCAAGCACCACCCCGAACGCCTCGCCAGAACATAATTCTCGTCGATCTCGACCAGGTAAGACTCGTTTTATATTCTAACTTTATTTTATTCCTGTGGTGGAGATTTGTTGTATTGACAAATGAAAAATTTTTAGCTCCAGTAGCTCTTTATCGACCACCTGCCGCCAGGCGTTCTCAGACTGAATCGTCGCCTCCTGAAACTCGATCGACTGATACAAATTCTGCCAGTACTAGTCGAGAGTAAATAATATTAACAATTTTTAGAGCACCGTGTTACTCACATCATGAAGAATTAACATTAAATAAATATGATATTTGCTTACAGAAAGAATCGCCAAAAACGACCAGACAGGGCAGTCTATGTTCCCAAGCATAGGCGAAGTGGTGGAGAAAACGAAGATCCTCCCATTGCAACCGAGAATACGACCGAGAATACAACCGAGAATACGCCCGAGAATACGTCGGAAGGACACAATGTGACAACTAAACGGCAAGCAAGTAAAAAGACATCCGTCAGAAGTGGCAAGAGTTCAGATGAAAAAACGAACGACAGAGTACAGAGTGATAATAGTGTAATTGTAAATAATTTAATTGAAAAACCACTTATGAGTGAATCTACCAAAGAATCAGAATCTGATGAAAGAAAATACCAGAGAAAAGCAGACTCTTTTACCAATGATGCATTTGAATATATTCTATTATCAAAAAATTGCATGGATGTGTGTACTAATGAAGTCAAGGTGGTCGAAATTCCTGAACGAAACAAGATTGAACCAGAAGAAAGTGCAGATAATTGTACTGCAGATGTAAAAGTTGTAGATGTAAAAAATACTGAAAGAAGCGTGATTGAATCAGAACAGAGTCCAAATGATTGCCCTGCGAAAGTAAAAGTTAAGAAAGATATAGAAAAAAACCTGCTTGAATCAGAAGAAAGTACCAATAGTTTTACAGACAATGTAGAAGTTATAAAAGACTCTGTACAAAATTCTACTGTTTCAGAACAAATTACTACTAGTTGTGCTGCAAATGAAAAAATATTGAAAGATTCTGAACAAAATGTGATGAATTCTAAAGAAAAGTTAGATAGTTCTAGAACAGATGTTGAAATGTCAGGAATTACTGAACTACCTACTGTTGCTTCAGATAAACAAGAAAAAAATGTTTCCTTTGAAAAAAGCAGTAAAAATGTGCAAAATAAAACTGTAGTACTCAAAATATCAGAATCTGAAAGAGTTGAGAAAAAAAAAGAAAAAGTTGTTGCGTCTGTTGAAAAACAGAATTCAGTTGATACACTCAAAATATCTGAACCTAAAAAATTAGAAAAACAAACACAGAAAGTAAGTAAAAAAGATTCAATATCCCCAACATCCGAATCAAAGCCACCAGAAAAAAAGAAGAAAATTGAATCAGATAAAAGTAAAAGTACAAGTGAACAAAAAACACTCAACCGAGACGAATGTGATTGGGATACCCTGTTCGACGATGATGGAGAATGTCTTGATCCTTCTCTTATGGATGAAGTAAGTTTGTAAAAAATATTCATGTAAAGTAAGGTTTATAAACATTTATTAACACGACTACTCTGTATATTTTTAGATCACTGCTTCAGTTGGAGAAGTTGTAATTGAACATGCAAAGAGCACAAGCAAAAGCACTAAAAAGGCCCCAATTGAAATATCAAATGATGAATTTGGTCATGTAGTTGAAATTTATAACTTTCCGGCTGATCTTAAATCTCAGGATTTAGCTGCAATATTTAGTTCCTTTAAAAGTAGAGGATTTGAATTGAAATGGGTTGATGATACACATTGTCTAGGAGTTTTTGGCAGCGCCAAAATAGGTAATTTATTATTTTAATCGATAAATTAATTTGTTAAAAATGTTTCTTGAGGAATAGAATAAGTTTTGTTGAATTGCTCCATTCATATTTTTATAAATTTTCAGCTGCTGAAGTTTTAGCTTCAGAACATCCTTTTGTCAAAACTAGACCATTATCTGAAGCTACAGCTCTAAGCAAAGCAAAAGCTCGAAGAACTTCGGAGTTTCTACAACCTTACAGAGATCGTCCTCAAACATGTGCTGCACTTGCGAGGCGTTTAGTTACTAAGTCGCTTGGCGTCACTTTAGCAACTGCAAGGCAAGAACGAGAGCAAGAGAAAATAGTCCTACGCGAAGCAAAAGGTATAGTTGGAGAACTCATATTTTAAATCTCATCTTTTTCTTTTAATTATTGGTCAAAAATTAATAATGATTTTTATTCGCAGAAAAAAAGAGGCTCGCCAATAAACAAAGGGAAGAAATATGGGAAGGCATTGTTCCTCAAAAATCTTAGATTTTCCATTAATTTGTACATATTTTTAAGTAAATACGCAAGTGCCTTTAGTTGCCAAGATTCGAAAACATATAAAACTGTTTTTGATTTTGTATAAAGTATCGTTCCTTTATTTATAAATTTTAAAGTATAATTGTACTTTTGTCCGAGTTAGTGCTGTTAAAAAATAGGCTACATTCAACTAGATGTTCTAAAATTCAATACTCTATGGTAAATTCAACTTTACAAATATATAAACAATAGTAAAGAGATAAAAATTTCCATTTATCGGTGTGACTACGAAAAATTACTGTTAATAATGTAAGAATAATTATATTCTTCATATTGAATAATAATTTAACTGATCAGTTATTTGTTAAAAAATAACGTTGTGAAGAATGTATAATCGAAAACTTTTAATTTTTATATGAATAATGAATGAAGATTTATTGTTAGTAAAAATCTTGAATGGACTATTTTCGAGAATTTTCTGTCGTATTTTTATATTTAAAACTGCATTGTTCTATCAAATCAATGGGATTATAAAATGGCATAAGAACTAGTCATGAACATCATTACTTCTAAAAAATGTTACCTATATCTAATGTTGATATATCGTGTATATTTAATGATTAAAATAAGTAAAAAACTATTTTTTCAACGATAATAATGACTTTTATTTTCTTACATCATTAAATGAAAAAATTGAGATTTTACCAATTTTTGTTGCATCAACAAAACTGCATTCATACCGAAAATTAATGGTTGTATGTGTAATAAAATCTATCACCATTTTCCTCCTTTCTTTTTCTTTTTTTGCTGAACCTTTCTTTGTTGTTGCCTTGGACCAGATGTTTCTACTGTTGGAGTTTGTCGAGGATTCGGTGATGGTTTCGACGTAGACATTTTAGTTATATCACTGAAAGAATATTATTAAAATTTTTAGAAACATTAAAAGATTTTAAAAATAATTTTACAATGATTTGGTTATAAATAGATAAGTTTTGCGTACAATTGATCACTAGCTCCTGTGGCAGCTCCTTGTGTGCCCTTCATAGCAGCATCGCGATTTCTTCTATCTCGTTTCTTTCTGAAGCCACTTCTTTCATGCCTTGGTAACCATCTTTCAGGATCAGGAGCAACATTAGGGTCATAGTTTTTAGGCAGCTTGGTCTTACGCTTTCTTTTCTTCTTCTTCTTATCTAATGCTTCAGGTTTTCTGTGATTTAAAAATTTACAAAAATTAATTAACCAACTTAGATTTCACATATATAGTACTTAATTAAAAAATAAAATTCTTTACCCTGGTGATGGTTCCACTTTCTTTTTGACCACTTTCATACCAATGATCCAATTGCTACTTTCCAAGGCATCAACATCTGCTAATTCTGTTAAGTCACTTATCGAAGGCAACCTCTTAGACAGTGCTTGTGCTTTTGTTGGATTAAATTGCGCATAAGCAGCAATTAACTGGGCCAAAGTTTTTGTGTCGGATGGATTAGCAGCTAAAAGTTCTTCTAAACTTGCAGCAGCTACAGTAACTTCTCCTCCTCTTAAATGGAAATCTGCCGCTTGTCGCCATAGTTTCCCCAAACTACCAGTGCTTTCCTGAATTTAGTTAATAATTGATCAGTAATACTAAATATGGAATACATTTGTCAATTAAGTTTTTATTGTGACAAAATATTTACCTTATTTTTCTTATAATAGTTAACAGCATTTTTAAGAACAGCTGAAGCTTTAGCCCTATCATTATTAGCCATGTGTAATGTGACTAACGTGCTTACTATTCCAGGTAATGATTTTTCTGTTTCATTCAAACCTTCCAATACTTTAATAGCATCTTCTTTTTCTTCATTACCCAACAGAAGTTGAACACACGCCAATTTAATGGGCAAATAATTTTCTCCTTTAGCATATTGGTCTAATAATTTCACCGCTTCTTTAGACTTGCCCTCTCTTGCTAACTGAACAGCTTGTACTGTCACACCATTGATAAGCATATCTGGATATTCTTTAATAAGGTTTTTACACAATGATTGGCATTGCTCTCCCTATTAACACATTAAACATTAACTTATGAATATGAATAAAAATATAAAAAAATTGTTATTTAATGAATTACAAACCTGATTGGTATAATAGGCAAGAACACATTGATTGTAAGCAATACTTTTTCTTTGCTTAGAAGTTAATTTATGTTCTAAACCATCTTGAGTTGCACTTTTCATTCTCTTTTTACTGTCAAATACATTTTGATCTTTATTGAGGGTCACAACATTGTTACTTGCTACAGCCACCAGAGATATATCATCTGGACGTTTTTTCAAAGCAGCAATATATAAGGCTTGAGCTTCTTTTTCTCTTCCTTGAAGTTGCAAACAGTAACCAAGCTGTACTCTAATAATAGCAAGTTCATCCTCTATTTCTTCCTCAGTTGCTCCATCATCTTCCAAAGAATCTTTGCATATTTTTTCAGCAGTACGAAGCTTTTTCTCAGCTTTATTCAAGTTTGTTTTGTCACCATTAATTGATCCAATGATTTGACACGCAGAATTGTACATTAATTCATAGGTATCTTCTCTTAATACTGGAGTATCAATATTCTAAATATCAAAACAATAAAAGAAACGTCAACATATATCAAGCAAAAATTTTAGTTATGAATTATGGTCACTTACAGAATCTGACATTGCCAAGTGAACACAAACAGCTGCAAGATTAGTTTCTCTTTCATCTTCATATTCATCATTGGAATTTTTTATGATCTCACGATACATTGCAAAGCAATCTTCATACATTTCCAATCGATAAAGTATCTGAGCTTTCAGTTCCTTTATTTTCAATGAAGGATTTTGTATGTTTTCAATTATTTTGTAAGCTTCTGATACTTGATTTAAACGATAAAGACAGTACGCTTTCTCAAATTCCAATTTTCTAGAATGTAATTGATTTAATTATTAATACAGCTGTCAGTGCAAAAAGTAGGAACTTTATTGCAATCAACTTACGGTAAAAGTTTAGGATACTTATTAATGATTTGTAAAGCATCATTGAATTTTGATAATTGTATAAAACTAACGACTTTACAGTGAAGGGCCGACTCATCTTCTTGAGACAAAGATAGAACTGGAATAAAGAACAAATTTCAATGAGCATCATAACAACAGCTGTTAAAAGTCCAGATTTTTTTTGACAACAATCAACAACACTCACTTCTGTTGGCAGTTTTCAACGCCCTCTCATATTCTTGATTTTGCCCTTGCTTATAGAGCTCGGCATAGAGGCTGGAAAGATTGTTTTCTTTCGAAGCCATCGTTAACGATTTGTTTCACTTGGTTTTTTAACGCTATGCAGAACTGCACATGACAATCTATACATGCGAAGTCTGCTATGTTAAACGTGTAAAGTAAGGTGTAATCAAAATACGGCAAAGCGCGATCGGTGTTCGCTTTGAAATTGTGACTGTCGCCATACATCGTCGCAGCGCGTCCGCAAGCGAAAAGTTGCCAAGGCGGGGACATTCAAACGGCCCGTGCAATATTAAATGCAATATTAAATTTTGAGAGGAAAAAATTTGCCAATGTAAAGATCGATAGTGGATTCATGCAGATAAAATATCGATTAAAAAAAATAAGATATAATTGGATCACAAGAAAAAGTAAACAATTAATTAACCAACTACCGACTAAAGTAATAATAATAATTCTACAAATAAATGTTGTTTCCATAAATGAGGCCTACAACTTTTTTTCTCTTTTCAAATGAAAAATAAAAGAGGATTTTCTTCGCCACTCGCAACAGCCAACCAAGCAGCCAGCCAGCATCGCCGCCAGCAGCCAAACCAGTAGCAGCAGCAGCCTCCTCGACTAATTGTAAGAGTAGTTAAATAAAGAAAATGTCTTGTGTAATCTAAACACGATGCACGCATTTATTTCCTCCTTCACCCAGCTCTCTTGTACTCATGCTCGCCTGACAAGCGAAGATGAATGCAAGAAATAATAGCAATTTAATCAATTATAAATATTTGGCTAAATAGTCATAACAGTGTTATAAATGTTACAGATGCATGGTTGTCCCATGAGTATTGTTTTTGGAAGTCAGGTATGATAGATTGATAAATAAACGAATTTTATAGTTCAATTTTTTTATTTTTCATCATATAATTTATGTACAATAATGATTTCCGAAATTTCCCACTTAATAAAAGCATCTTCAATAATATGTGGTTAAAATTTCAATAAATTCTGTCCATAATCATTTTCTTAGAGCAACTTCCTTAAAGTGCTGAAGTATAGATGTAACTATTTTATGACGATTGAGCACTCTGTGCATCCAACATCATAATCTGATTTATCCAACTACCGGACACGGTGTGTGACATTTGTTAATGCAGCGTTGTCTATGATGTCTGAAGATAGCCATGCACAGTCAAAAACTACGTAAGCGTGGTATTTCACTTCGTTCCTTCGTTCCTTCATTCGTCCCTTCTTTCGTTTCTTCGTATCTTCGTTCGACTCATTTTTTGATATCGTCTCTATCAGTCTCGCGGCGGGGATGGTGAAGCTGGGCGCGCTCGTTTACTATCAGTGATGATATGCTGCGACAACCAAAGAGAAGAGCTTCGAAGATATCTGAACGACCAGGTTGAATGATTTTCGACGGCCACTTCCTGACTTGGTCAATGAACCGAGAGAATAAAGAGAGAAGAACAAAGACACACGATCAAAAAACATCACAAGACGAGCTACCAACATCTGAAGCACAGAAACTATCCATTGGCCATGGCATGGCACAGGTGTTCTTCCATGCCACGGCTTCTGGGAGTTTCGGCTTCAAGTTGTCGGTGAGCTTTTCCATAATAGGTTGCACCATTGGGTGACAAGCATATGGCAACCTATTTATGGGAAACCACTTGATTTCCTTTATCTCGCCTTGGCAGTTTGAATGAAAATTTGTTTGTTTGGGAATATCATTCACGATGAATAATCGACACAGTTCTTCACCGTGTCCATACTCCACAAACAAATTTTCTTTCAAAAGATTTGTTTGATCAAAATTGACCTCTTCTTTAGATTCGCGGATAGCACATTCTAAAGGTGTTTCTGAAACGTGGATTTTTCCTTTCGGAAAATTCCACGTTTCATAATAGCTATCCTGCACCATGAGAAGAGATAATTTTGAATCTCTTCCATGGTGGTTTTTCTTACTCCCTCTTAATTCCCTAAGTTCATTGACTAAGTCAGAGAGTGAACCGTCGAAAATCATGACCCCGCAAGTTGGTACTCGACGCTTGTACTTCGAGTAAAACTCGGCCAAGTTTGCGATTTGCCAAATTTTCAAGAACTTGAGGTGTCGCGAGATCTGGTGCATAAATTCTTTTATGCCCAGTCTCTTGAACTTGTTTGAAGGATCATAATGATCCTTCAAAGCCCACCAAGCTCTTTCAACTTGGCACATTATCGCCAACTTGTGGTCTTCAACTTCGATATTTGTCTTCTTCTCTTTGACGATATTTGACAGAAACAACCTGCAAAAAAGAGAAAAAATTAATAAAGTCAGTTAGATACTTGCGGTTAAAAAGAATGATCATAGCTCAAGATATTCATTTCCACGGAGGTGTAAGTTTTTTTGACAGACGTGAATTTTCCAATAGAATAATTATCGCTGCATAGCTAAGTTGTAGCCAGCGATATGATACGGCGACGTGTTGTCTGAGGATTCTAAAAAGGTCTCGACCACCGATATAATGTCGTATGTATCAGAGAGAATCCTCTGCTCGAAGAGATTGAAATTGCGAGAAAACCAATTAATATTTATGGAGCCTATTTTTAGATTTTTACGGGTACGCGGGCGCGGCTTGAGATCGGTGCGAGAGTTGAGAAAATGTACTGAAGGTGGGGGGGGGGGGGNGGGGGGGGGGGGGGGGGGCAGAAGATGTAGAAGCGGATGTAGAAATGTTTTGCTGGGAACGAGATGAAGAGAGAGAAGAAGAGAGACCGGGAGAAACTGTAGAAAAAGAGTGAGTGTGTGAGGCATTAGAAAAAAGGTTTGAATTTGAGTTTAACGGAATAAGTAGATTTGAAAAATTACGAGAGGGAATTGCGCGATGGGGAAGAAAGTCTCATAAGTGATGTAACGGAAGGATCGATCCTTCTCGTTAAGTCGAGCGTGAACGTATCGCGCATCGATTCGCGCATCGATTCGGCTCGTCGTATGTACGAGATACGACGAGCGGACGAGATGATTGGTATCGCGACCCAAGGATTTCGGCTTGGCGCGAAGATCATTACTTCGAGTACGACTGCCGTCGCGGCAAGTACTGTTGTCGGGAATCGGGCTGTTCCGTGTGGTGGCGTCGGCAAGTTCCGCGAGGCATAGAGTAGACGACGATCCTGTCTATCCGCGATACTTGTGCGACCGCGTCCGCTGTACGAATTCAACCCTATTGTACCTTGACGAAGCTTCTGGCCTGCGCACCAGACTTGCGAGACGGTGAGCTTAATCGACGAGCGAGACCACACCAGCGACGAACAGACGGTAATAAATTGTATTCTCTGGCGAGCGTGCGGCCTTATAATAGATTCGCGAATTTGTGTAACCAATTATTATCTTTTACAATAAACCGTCACTATCTATTATTTTCACATTAAATAAAGTAGAGTCATTCCTGTTGCCCGATTCACTTTGCTCGCATAACATCCAAAACTACTTGGCGAGCTGTCACTCGCCAAGCCCACATACACGCCAGCGTCACAGTCGAGACACGTGTACCTCGTCGAGTAAGCGACGAGGGTAATGTGTACTGAGGAGCCGCCTCAGAGCTAGCCGGAGGAAGAAATCGAGGCGGATTCCCCGTTACAGTGAGTACTTGAAAGAGATGCGGGCGATTAGGCGTCCATCATAGACGAGTTTTCCACGCTCGCCGTCGCACGGTTTTGGCTGTCCAGGGGGCCGCGGTCCCAGCGACATCAGATCCTCCGCCGAGCGAATATGGATTGGTCGCTGGTTAGTGCCAGGCCTCATGAAGATTTTTAATCCACGCATAAAGGGACGAGGGAGACGCTTTGAGCGTGCCAAGTCAAGCGCTCGACGGCGCAGATTGTAGACATCGTGTGAAAGGCATTTTTGTGGAGAATATCATAGCTAAAAGACCTATGTACCTATATTTGTTTCAGTTTAATTCTAGAAATTTTTTCCACTTTCATCGATTTAATGACGTGCAATGATATGTCATGTAGTTCATTAATTTACTCTCGAATGACTTGCAGTTATCTAAGTAATTTGAAACCAATTTCTATTATAGTATTCATTGTCGACATATGCTAGTTTATGTGTGGAAGTAATATAAGAACGTCTAAGAAATTCATTTGTGAAAATATTGAGTTCGTTTGAAAAACATTCAAGGAAGGAATGTTAACTTCTAACTTTACGTGAACCGGCTATTCGACCCTCTACTGATTTTTGGGTTATTCCGTCCTCGCGATTTTTTTACCCCTTTTCGTGAAGCTATTTCCCCTCTTCGATCTTACTTGGGTCCGTAACTTTAGAAAACGAGTACGCGCGTACTATGATACGACTACTAACATTCGAACTCGGAGTCCTCGCGTGATACTGCTTCTAGACACTTGTCTATTTTTAGCCTAACGGGCTACCTTACAGTAATGGTACGCGTCCAACCCCCATCGAATGTCTACTCTGCCCTCATCACCTTCAGGCCACGAATCCCGGCCACCCTCGCGACTAATTGGGCTTCGTCTTCGCATCTTTTCGCGCGCGTCTCTTTATTGTAACGGAGTTACAGGGCACAGCTCGGTCGAGCGAAGTCGCGTCGCCCAAGCGTCGAAACGGGCATGTATGAGTGCGTGTGTAGATGATTGTCGCGCGTTTCAGGTAGCAGCGAAGAAGATGCACTCACGTGGGTCGGAAGCGTCGTGGCAATTCGGCGAGAACAGCAGGAGTACGCCCAAGCGGGCAGATTGATTTGAGCCGTGCTCGTCGAGATAGTACACCGTGTAGCGGCATACTCGAATGCACTACAAGTCGATGAAAGTCACTCTTCACTGGAAACCCTCTTGAGGAACAGCAGCTCAACCAAATTTAGTTAATTGTATTGAGCTGTATGAGCCCAAAAACATAAGGTAAACCACCCAATACTGGGACAATGCAAAAATCCGTCGTATAGTGGGACACCTGCGATTTTCAGTAGTTTCTTCAATGAAAATTTATAAAAACAACGATAAATCATATGAATTATCATTCATTTAAATCTCTAATATGCATATCTCAAACGCTTTTTTTATTTGCACTTACTCAAAAAATATGAAAATTCAATGAGTAACGACGAAGTTGATGGGAAGAAATTTCGGTGCGAAATCGTACTTCTGAGTGGAAAAGTACCCACACAATTTTTGTAAATTGAAGATAAAAGTCAAATATAAAGTAGGTAATGTTAAGTTTTATATTCAATATTTTGACTTCCCGGAACACGACTGTACTGTTATTTTTACAAATAATAGTATATTTTTTTTATAATAACATGTCCTGATTTACGTGCAGTTATTTCGCGATACGTCCTATAGTAGGACACATTAAGTCACATATTTGCTATACGCCCCGCGGTGCAGTTCGCTTTGTCGCTTTGGGTAGCCTATAATATCTGCATCCATTAGAAGTAAGTGTATATTCGTGTTTAGTCGAAAACTTCGGCTTCGTGCCGAAGTTCCGAGGTTAACG